TTGGCCTCGCGTTAGATTCTAGAGCTAAAAGTTTTCAACAAGGTCGTTTTAGACCTCAGTTTCAAACTAATTAACTCTGGCGGGAAGTATGTAAGGATCTTAAGTTTTACTAACGTTTATTTTATTTTAAATCTTTACTATCACTTCTTATTTTCTACTTCCGGCCAGAATTATAAGCGTGAAGGTTTTTATGCAAAGTTTGTCTGGCGAACGCCAAGTATTTAAGTTGTGGCTTTTTGCCAAGCGAGAGAGAGGAAGCAGTGAGTTCGAAGCAGGCCGCTTACCTTAGAAGTTACGCAGTTGCTATTTGCCTTCCAGGCCAGAGGTTTTAATCCTCTTGATAAATTTTAAACGTATTGTAGTGTTCACAGTTCTCTGTGCTACATACGCTTCCTGTTATTATAAGGCCAATCTTCCACGTTTATTATTCTAAAGTTAAATTAGAGTTTAGTTTTATTTTTATACTTTTACGTTAGACCCCAAGTAGCGGGTCAGTGTATTCCGAAGTACGGAAGTCATTGTATATAGAGAAAAATAAAGGGTTTTGTATACCCTTCGTGTGTATCCTGTTTACTTCCCACAGTTTTGAACATAGCTTTAGTAAGCTTTCTGTTCCGAGTCAGGTCCTTGCATGTTCCCGAAGAAGGTTAGAAGGAACGTTGAACCTGATACAATTAGTTACAGCAATGATCACAAAGGTATTTTACATTTTCTTCTCATCTTTAGCACATATGTCGTGTACCCGTCCTTTGCATTTTAAGCAGTTTAGGCATATATATACATATATCCACTCATCTCTCACCTGGATTAAAAGTGCTTATTCGGACTTTACTTTCGCAATCATTGGTCGTAGTCACATACTTCTAGTTAGAGAAGTGTTTTAAATGACGAAATTATTCATGGTTTGGCAATGTCAAATTTAACTTCAGTGTTGTGGACTTCTATCATGTCCCTGCTGGAAGATTGCGTTTATTTTATAAAATCCTACAATCTGTATCGTTCTTATCATTTTTCATCTGCATTTATTTTTTTTCTTTTTCTTTATATTTTCATATTTTTTTCCCTTTTTCTTTATATTTTCAAGCACGAGCACCAGAAGCTACTTAAAACGCTAGATATTTTTAACCCTGTTAGCGGGCGATTTCTGTTTTACAACAAGTAGCCATAAATTAGCATTGAACTTAATTCATCGCATGCTTAGCAGTGACATTCGCTTAACTGTGTGTTTCTCCCAGAAGCTAAAATGTGTTCATTTTCACTTCCTGTACGAAGTAAAGGAAATATTGTAGTCGAGAAAAATTTTGAGTATCATATTTCAAACAAAATAGCCATTTTGATAGTTGCCAAATCCATTTGGATGACTTTTTACGTGACGTCTGTACGTACTCACAGAATAAAGGACTCTTTTTTTCGAAAACTTAAATTACTTAAACTTACAATGCTTAAAACGGTTTCAAAAGGGATTTTTCGTGACGTCTGTGTGTACGTACGTACGTATTTATGCATTTCGCATAATTCAAATTTGGTTAACCGTAGAATGTTGAAATTTTGTATATGGGACTGCTGTAACATTTAGTTGTGCAACTCTCTTTTTTATTGCAATCAGCAGCAATAAACCTTTATATACGAGGGGTGGTTTTTGAGTATGCGCTGTTTGAAAATTAAAAAGGAAACGAAAATTTTACAAAAACCAAATTTATTTTCAGTTTCTACATATGTTTCTCTATTTTTTAACATAGTTGCCAGGTTCGTTTAAGCACGTATCATACATACCTTAGAACTAGATTTTGAATACCATCTTCATAGAAACTTGCCGCCTGCTCCTATAACCAAAAGGTCAAGGCCGTTTTCACGTCTTCCTCATCGTTGTAGTGGTCGCCGTCGAGGTGATGTTTGAGATAGCGAAAAAAATGAAAATCGCTCTACGTAAGGTGTCAGCTGTAGGGGAAATGGTCCAAAACTTCCTAGCCAAAAGAGTCCAATAAAACTCGGACGCGGGGTTTGGCCATAGACTACAGCATTTATGGTGGTTCCGTGTTGCATGAAGTCGACCAGCAAAACACCATGTCTACCCCAAAACAAGGACGCCATGATCTTGTGCTGGGTCAGAGTCTGTTTGGCCTTGACCCTTACAGGAGAATGTGAGCGTCTCCACTCCATGCTTTGTTGTTTCCATGCGTGACATTTGAAACCCACGTTTCATTTCCCGTTACGATCCGACTCATGTGCGAACATGGCGTCACCTTCTTCTTTATAAGAAGTAAAAAAATTCAGCGAACACCCAAATCTTTCGTTTTTGTGGTACTCTGTTAGGAGTTAAGGGACCCAACGGGAGCACAGCGTCTTAAACCTTAACTTTTCAGAAACGATCTTGTACAGCACTGCCCTAGACACTTCGGGAAATTCGTTTGAAAGAGTGCTTATGGTGAAGCGTCTGTTCTCAAGAATTTTCGCTTCAACTGAAGCCACCATATCGTCTGTGATCACAGATGGGCGACCGGAGCGCGTAATGGCAGACCGCCCAAAAATTCTTTAAGAGTGGCAAATACGTACATAAATTTGATTCCCCCCCAGTATGTGTGATGAGTACGTTCCATTAGACTTCATGATTATTTTATAACAGCTCTACTTATTGCCAAAATTGGGTCTTTATGCATATATATATATGTATAATGCATACAACATACATGCAAAGTTATGATAGCTGTTAATATATCATAATTGACTAAACACTACGAATACTGTTTCTCTTTCAAGACATGTACTCTCAATGTTTTCATAACAACTTCTGTATTTATTTAGGAAAAATTCTACTGATAAAATACTACACACAAATATTTTTAAAATGGTGTTTAAGATATGCTGTTGATTTTTCAGAGACACAGTAACAATTTAACTGGTTATAACCTTAACAGAGCAGAGATGTCAAACAGAAAAAGAAATGCCATTAGAAATGCTCAAATGCCAAATTAAAATATTTGATCATAAAACAATGCAATTACAGTTAACTTATTTTCGAACTTGAAGATTGATTATCAAGTATAAGTTAATGTTTAATAAAAGAATTTCATGAAAACAACCTAAATTTGAAGTACAATGAAAATAGCTTAGTACAATGATTTTGTCAATGTATTCTTTATATTTATTTATGGGAAATTAACAGAATATAACCTATGTTATGAATATAAAGGTAATTTTTTATTTAAACTCTCGCTAATTAAATATAAAACAGTTACAAAAGTCTGAATATTTGGTGTAAAATTCGATTTTTCATTTTTAAGATTAAATGCCTTTTCCACCGATTACTTTTCTTGATTTAATAAATCTCCTTTTGGTCTTTCTTACACCTTATACGAGTTTCACCCACTTTGGTAATATATACTGTGTGAGAACTCTGGAAAAATTAAGCGACTTCTCGTTATGTTTTGGAAATTACAACAGAGGTTTGGAATAGGTGTAAGAAAACCTTTTCGGACAAATTAACAGAGTGCACAGCTTGTTCATACAGAATCAGCTAGCATTTATGGCGTAAATCAAAAGTAACGAAATGAATTCACCTCATTTGAATACACTCAAAATTAGCATTCTGGCAGGAAAATGGAAAGGAAGGAAGAAAAGCTAATTATCATAAAATAGCTGGTTAATAAAAATAAATGAGAACTCTACAACCTCAATTCACTATTTTAATTTAGCCATTTTCATTTTTATGCAGCCTTTATATCGAAGTATGCATTTGTTTTGGTGTCAATAAACTTAATTCTTTCATTTTTACCCGATTACCCCGATACATAATATTACATGCAACAGCTGTAAATATGAAAAACACATGCATATATCCAGCAGGTATGTTAATTTCTTTTGAATATATGGTGTCTGTCATCTACAAAAGCAAACTGTAAACTTCAAAATATAAGATGTGAACACAGGTCTCCTGTTGGATAATATAAGGAAAGTCACACTTTGTCTGGTATTACTATTATTTTTTTTATATGTAGGACCTAAGGTCCTACAAATAATAAAAAATAATAATTAAAACCAAATAACATTGTGTAGGAGAGTAAAAAGCATAACGCAGAAACCTTTGCTGAAAAATTAACATGTATATCACTTTGTCCTGAGTGTTATAGGTCAGAATCCATTCTGTATAATAATATATGCATTTGACATTATTAGGTATTGCTAATTAAATTAACATTTAATACTTCAATGAAATATTAAGAAAATTAGAAAAATTATGAATATTACTTACTATATGATATGAATTTTTTAAAAGTGAGCTAATTAATAAACAAAGAGCAAAATATATAGTTCCATATTCCTTACGCTGAAGTCTACTTCATACTGATTATATCATCATTAGTTATGAGGGCAGAACATTTGTGGTCTTCACCTTGCAAAATCATGAGGAACATTTTAATAATATAGGAAAATTTCATGTAATGGCTAGTAGCTGAACTGAATGAAATGAGTATTTTAAATTCACTAGAAATTTAGGGTCGTGTAATGTTTAAATATTTCAAGTTTGGAAGAAACTATTTAAAATGTCTTCTTTTTGGAGGTGGGTTGCTTTAACTGCTTTTGGGCTACAGATTTCAGCCATATAATCTCATAATAGGATTTAAAGATTAATTTTTTAACCCAGGCAGATCATATTTCTTCATATGAAATTATTGTTCAAAATTTATTCACTGCCTTACTTATTCATTACACACAGTATATTCATATACTAATTAATCATATATTAATACAATATTCAAATACTAATAATTAAATCCTTAAAAAATGTTCCTCTATTAAAAGGAAAACATTTTAAAATGTTCCAATTGCCCAGTATTTATTTTACCTCAAAATATGTCACTATTGTATTATTTTTCAAATTCGTTATTAATACATGAATTAAGTAAACTCAAGTATTATTTAGAATTGAGAATTAGTGATATGGGATGTTTAGAATGTTCAGGGTTTTATGGAAAAGTACTACTGAATGGTAAAAAGGTTTATTGAAATTCAAATACAGTAATTCAATGATGTAATATACACATATAATTACGATTAGTATGAAATGCATGACAGAGCAAGAATGAAAACATACATGAATTTACAATAACATAAGTTGCAAAATAAACAGAATACAGGAAAACTCGCATAAATTTACAGTAATACGAAACAATTAAGTGTTATGAGTAATAATATTAGTCAGATTTTTCTTTATAGTTAAATCTTCATTTTCATTGCTCTTTTAATATCTTGTGTTGGTGGTTAGCCTGCACGCATTCTTTAAACGATAATCTCTGTGGCACTTCATCAAACCCTAAATTGTTGAAACAAACATTATCAAATGCTAACTTGTAATGACATTCATACATGCATCATAACAAATACACAATATTAAGAAAATCTTAATGTACCAATATTTCTTGTTTCAGTAGTATCAATTATTGAAATATCATAAAAGAGGAATTAGACATTTTTGATTAAACATTCAACTATACATCTATCAATTCAGTGTTATAGTGTGGCACCAGGGTAAGGTACTATGCGAGACACACTAATCTCCTCTAAGATTTCTGATTTACAAAATAATTTTGGCAGTAACCTGTAACGGCTAAAAAAATATCAAAAAGATACAATTCTTAAGTAATTAACAAATATTTTGCAGAAATACTTTGGAACTGTTTGAGCTGGTATTCGTGAGAATCCTTGAGTATAATTTTTTGAATGCAGAATAGTTGAACTTGAGAAACAACAGAATGCAGCCAAATGATATCCCTAAGTATTATTTTCATTTCACTTTCTAATGCACGCATAATAGCATTAATTAAGAACTTTAATAAAAACATTAAAAATAATTACAATGAAGCAAGATCTGTAAAATTTCAAACTTGCATATAAAAATCTAGTTTAATATCTGCAATACATTTTTAACTCATAATATTTTCATAAATTTAACTTTACAATCTAAGACTAATTACAATAAAGCATACTTTATGACACAAGAATATGAACTTCCAGATAATGTGTATCATTTAGTCTGAGATTAAAAACTATGCTAGGAAAACATTCTGGAAAACCATATTTAATACGTTTTAAACTATTTTACTTTCCTAGATAATCTCATCAAAATTATTAAATATTCATCAATCTTTTGATCGTCAGTTTCTGTTACCTGCCAGCGAGGTAGAATGTATTCACCAAGACACAAAGAATATGTATTATATACATGTAAAATATAGAAAATACAGTGGCTTTGCTCTGCGCGAGCATGCAACCTATAATTAACTTACTACAGTTTCAGGATCTTATCCTAGACCAGTACTTTCGAGAACATTCTGGCATGTTATATAACTGCTAGTACACATACTGAATACGTGCCATTTTTCGTCCGACTGCTTTCTTCTACCGCTGCTACAAGACCTTGCAGCTGCTCCTCCCATCTTGTTCTTTCCTTTGTTAAAGCAGATATGACGTAAAGTCTAAATTTAATCTTACTTAGTTTAAATCAATATTGAATATATAATTTTGAGAATTTCATATAAAGGCAAAATGATCTGCTGAGAGAATTGAATAAAGATGTAGGATCTAAAAAGCTAAATCCTTCTTTGTTGTCATTTTGCAACCTTCTATCCAGCCATAACAATGCCTGGCCTATGATGTAGTTATATTGTCAAGCTTTGGTCATTCCTGTGCCTGCCAAAATATTACATATACACGTATGAAAATTATTAATATAAGCTACATAATGTAATATTAATAATTTTCATACGTGTATAATTTTCTAATGATTGTTTTGTCACAGTAATTACAATAAAAGTCAGAAATATTGCCATGTCTTGCAAAATATCAACTAAATCTGTACACAAGATAAGAAATATCAACTAAATCTATACACAAGAATTTTCCATTAAAAATTTCTGTGCAGTGTTCCATTAAAAATCATTATATATACTGCTCTTTGTATAATGTACTGAACTGTAAAGCTCCAGGTATACAAAACATTTCAAGACACTCGATATTTATTCTGTTGCAGAAGCAAACTGTTTATTTTCAATATATATAATAATAAGCAAAGATGATACGTGACAAATCTTTCAGTTCTATAATTTTTATATCTAATATTCAGTGCACTATTATGCTAATAAGCAATCTTTATTCTCAAATCCTTGCATTATATGTTGGTGATTATGGGTGGTCTATTATTCATCTGTTTTCTTATCCGTCATGGCGACTACACTAAGTCTGTTAATCAAAGCTCAAATGTATGCCTGTCTTGTGTAATTTTAAAGAAATATTTGAAGGAAAGATAGGTTAAATTACATAATAATTATACATACTTTGCCTGTGTGTTTACAGTCAGACATAATATTCAACAACTAATATGCTTGAAAACGCCCAAGTGGGATTTGAATGGCTTCAATAACATATACTGGAAAATTAAATAAAAGTATTATAAAAATATTGCGCCCATTTGGATGGCTTAAATAATAGTTGTGTAATAAAAGAACATTTTAGGTTTGATATTAACTAATTAAATGTTTTTTTTTTATTTTATCTCTTTGACCTTTAAAATGAAGAGGTAATGTTTCTAGTGGATATTATGTGAAAACCTGAAAAGCAAACAAAAACTACACTAAATCTAAAAATGTTTCCAAAGTTCACACATCTGCAAGAAAACTGATAAGGTCAAACAATGCCTGATTAACTGAATTTGTTGGCAGATGATGATTCAAATCTGAATATAGAAGACATGTAAACAGTATAAAAGCATATCAAATTTATATCAGTGTACGAGTCATCATATGTGTGAATGAGTGCGTACTATAAATTAAGTACAAGTCTTACTCTGAACTATTTAGTATGCTTATACACTAATTTTTGCATTTTCTTAATTCATATTTTTAATTAGCATTGTTACAAAATTAAATAATATCTGTAATAATTGTAACTGAAACAATTGTATTTGAAATTTCACCTCTTTCATAATAACCACAATTGCTTAGTACATATTCATTAGCAAAGCATACAATTAAGTGCTTCACAGTATTATTAACAGTAAGGATGCTATCACACGTCAGTTTGTTTCGGAAGAATAACTGTTTGGCACAATTTTTCTGCTTTGTCACAACAGCCAATTATCATAGATCACTTTGGGGTTAACATGGGAAACTGGTTTCCCATTACAAACAAGCTGATAGTTGATTGATTGAAAATGAACAATTTGCAATTTTTTTAGAAAGGAAGGAAAACGTTGCATGTCTTTCTTTCAATAGTAAACCAGGCAGAAAATTGTCCGAAACAAGTTGTTCATGTGAAACAAAAATGCCGTGTGATAAGGGTCTCAGACATCATTACTTACATCTAACATTTCACTTCCAGAAACAAGGGTCAAAATTTTTCAGCTGCCATTCACTGTGCCAATGCCTGAAATTAAAAAAAATCATTTTATAAAAAATCTTTAAAAAGGATGATTCAAGTATTGAAAAGTCTTAGATCATAACTTGGTCATACGCACAAATATATTATTTTTTATACCAATAAAATAATATGTTGTTCAGTGCTGTATGAATTATTTAACAATAGGAGAGGGTCAATGGTTGTGAAATCACATCATAATAATAAGAGAATTTATAAAAAATGAAATAAGGGGTTTATTTAAATTTTATTATTTAGTTAAGAATAATTATCCTACTAACTTTAATTCATATATTCAACTCTGAAACACACTTTCTACAACTTATTTTTGGCTACTATAGTCTGTGTAGTCAGCTTGACAGATACAGTCAGCAAATGATGATTGACAGTCATAATTGTTATCCTGTCTTCCTGGAACATGTGCAGTACACGTACATGTTTTCCTACAACTTTCATGATTGCATACATACTTTTTCACAGCAGAAATATACAATTTTATGAAGAACTAATTTGCAATAATATATAGCATACATGAAAACAATCCAAGCATACTTTATATTAAAGTGTAATTTTATGTAATCATTGATGAAAATTACATACATCAAAATATACTTTATTGTTTAAGTTTTTAGGATTATTAAAAATCATCATCAATTCCTACATGCTGTACAATCATCTGCCTTTTTAAAATAGAACTGTTACATTTAATATTTCAACAGGTTTTTCTATTCAATAGATATTTGATAATATAAGGAGTTAAGTAAATTTGAGCTAATTATATTTTATTTTTACCAATTCTTTACAGTTATACCACAATTCATTACATTATTTTATATTAACTTCAACCAAAACATTTCAGCACATTTTGAGATAAAAGACTCAAGTACCTTGCATCAGTTTTAGCTGTAATAAAATTACGCTAATAACTTTCTTCTTGAAGTTTCTCGAAAATGATGTTTCTTTTCGAAAAAATTAAAACAGTAAGGAACAAATTTCTTAAAAACATCTTTCTTAATGCTACATTATATAGAAATTTAGGAAATATTAAAAAATGTTAATGAACTGTATATGTGTTAAAATACAATATATATCACATATTGCACATATAACCATCAAATTTGCTGAAATGGGAAAATATATACATACCTGAAAGCAATCTCGCAATAGCATTTGGTTTGAAGCTCGCGCTATCCACTGGAGCATCTGCATTTACGCTACCTTTCTTTACCCATTTTGTGCACTCTTCAATCGAATTTAAACTTGATCGTATCGTTCAACTTTCCAGTTTTTGGAGCAGTACAGGAAAAAAATCTAATTTTACACAGTAATTACTTTACATTGCACCTATACTCTACGAAGACTTAAAAGCCGGATTGTTTACAATCAGATGGGCGGTACATCTACCACATACCATATTTATCCTCTTTTCAAATCGCGCCAACATAATAATTACGCCAAATTTGTTTCTGGGCATGCGCAGTATGCGACATTCGTTTAACACTGTTCAACTCAATGTGCGGTTTGCCATTACGCGACCGGAGCGGGAATCATCATGGTGGTTGTCGCGGCCAGCCTTGAAGTCTCTCCCCCACTTACGGACTTTGCCTTCACTCATGTCAGTAGCTTCATAAACTTTACAAATCTGCCGGTGAATGTTGCAGTAGACAGGTTTCTTGCCGACAGAAAAAGTGTCACTGACCGTACCCCACGCGGGGGGCATTCGATAAAGTTAAACTTTTTAAAGAGACAGAATAACCGCACAGGTTACCTGCATAGTTACAACTGAGCACAATAGTTTCCAAGGGACGCTGAGACACGACGCAAGCATTCGTTGGGGCGCGCATGCTATCTATTAGTGTATGCAACAAGACGGCCCTTACTTAAAAAACACGCTACATATATACCCTACGCTTACCCGACATAAGAGTCCTTAGTCGGCCTTTATTTTCGCAATCATTGGTCGTATTCATGTAAGTCCAATAAGATAAATGTTTTAAAGGACGAAAATATTTCTGTGTCAAATTTTAAAAAAATTTATTTTTGACAAATAATGAAATCTAACTTTTAATGCGATCTTCCGGCTCCTATACTTATATTTCTGAAACTGTTATTCCGTTATGGAAAATAAAATTATAAGAAGTTTAAAACTGATTGGGATATTTTTTTCAAAATTTTTTTTTTTTTTTGATGTCATTTTCAACTTGCCTCGGGATCGGTTAAATAAGTTAGAATAGTTTGAAGAAACATAAAGTATTTCTTCCGCCTTCTTAGCATGCCTTCGTGGTTACGTGGTCAACACACTCGGAGCGTATTTAAACAGATCCGGGGTTCGTTCTCTTGGTTTGAAAAAATACCTAATGTCTCTACCGTGGCGCCCGAACTAAAAAGGTAGTGGATGATGATTCTCCACGACTAGGATTTGGCGATTGCGTCCCCTAATCCCCAGTCGCCCCTTAAAGAGGGGCACCTTTTTATAACGTATTTCTCCCGCCTTCTTAGCATGCTTTCGTGGTGTAGCGGTCAGCACGCTCGGCGTGTATTTCGAGAAGTCCGTGGTTCGAGTCCCGGCAAGGGCATTGCTAATTTTTTATATCTCCTGCTTTCAAATAACCTAATGTCTCTACAGGAATAACTTTAAAGAAAGTGCAGCAAAAAATGTGCATAATTCAATAGGCCGTACAAGGAAGTCGTGTGGTGTCCACATCAGAGTTTTTTCCACTATTATTATTCTAATGTGTGTAAATTTTAATTACAAAGGCAATTTCAACAGACGATGGATGAATTCAGCGACATGCTTATTAAACACTAATAACTCAGTAAATTGCAAGAAATATTAACATATTGTTACGAAATGCTAACCCGCGGTAAGATAGCTTCTCCCATCTGGCGACAAAATTGCCCATTTGGCGACAAAATTGGAAATAATGTGCCATAGACAGATGGAGAACCTTCTGGAACGAATTCTTACCGGTTTAGCCCAAAATATTCTCGAACGCAAGCCAAAATCTATATAAACCCTACTGGTTCGAGGTGTCTTGTCAGTCGATCGCGAGTCTATTGTCTCACAGTCTATCGAGATGATCGAGTCTAGTGTCGAGGTGTCTCGCCAGTGTATCGCGAGTTGGTGCATCGAGAGCGTGTATCGTTGAGGCTATCGAACGTATCGTCGAGGGCATCGCGAGTTGCAGCGTGGAGAGTCTGGAGAGTACGTAGAGTTCCGAAAACTACCGAACCGAGTCGGGTGCTGTACCCTGCAGCTCTGGCGTGAAGTTGTCTTCACCGTTATAGCCTGAAGCCCTGCCGTAGTTTTCGACGACTATAAACGTGTTTTTGGAGCTGTCCTGAATTATACCGGCTAATAAGGTTTCTATTCTTCATCAAGTGTTGTCGTTAATCTCTCCAAATCCACTACCCCGTACAGAAACGTAACAATATTTTATTAATTTATAAATTAATATTTTATTAATTGATTAGCAAATCTTCATAAAATTATCAGCAAAATAATACATCGTATAATAAATAAACTTTATTATATGTATATTAATATGTAAAAAAATGAAGACTATGTAAAAGTTAAATTATAATTTAAATTAGCAGCGTAAATAAATTTCCCTTCTGTATTCTTCTAGAAATGGTAATCTCTTTTTTACATTACGTCATGTCGAGACTAATCCATTTCATATTACTCATACATAACTCTGATGGTGTAAATGGAACTAAAACCCAAACAGACAATAATAATTTTACAGCAGTATTAATTAGCCAATCAAAATGCATTGAGAACCAAAACTAACTCACTCTGAATTAAGATTGCATCCTGAACATAACGCACTCGCTTGCTACTCTTCGGCCTAGCTGGACTGCTGTCTGCTGCTTTTTTCTTACTGCAAAGTTATCCAAAATGTAAACCCCTTGAAATAGGCACAAATAATATATTAAGTTGTTTGTGGCCGCAACTTGGTTACTGAAAATGTAATGAAGATTTAATCTGCTTCGGCTGCCAGTTTTCTATCGATTAGCATTCTACGCAATCAAAATTCTTGCTCTTCATTACTGATTCAATCTTATACGTTCTACACCATCGGCATTGCAAAGTCCTTTTTTATTACATATATACTATTAAAAATAATTAAATATTTTAATTATCGAGAAGAGCGTGTTTCGCTTTTAAATATCATGTTATTTTATAATTATTTTTAATAATATATAAATATAAATTAAAGGTCATATGATTTAATTTAGAAGTCAAACAACAAAAATCAGCACTATATTTGCAAATTTTCACAGGACTTTTTTCGATGGTTTTACCGAACCAGCATCTTCAACTGCCAAAGCGCAAATGAACGAGATAAGATATAGTCATTAGATAAGATTAGAATGGCTGGACAAAAGTTAAGCTACCGGTGCCATCTATTGATGAAGCGAGAGCTAAAATATAATTTTTTTAAAGGCTGAAGGCGAATATGGATTGGAATTCGGTAGCTAACTAGAACAGAAAAATTTTTTTGAATGTGAAGCGTCTCTAGAAAATCTAATTCAATAATGGAAAATGTTTTTTGAATAATTTCGGCTGCACAAAAATCGAAAGTGTGATTTTCAGACCAACAATGCTGGGCAACAGAGGACTTTTGTGTTTCCTTTTTTCTAACATATGCCTCAGATTCCTTAACGCGAAGGCCCTTTTAGTTTTAAGGCTCTTTTAGTTTGACCAATGTAAATTACTTCACTTTTTAATTTGAGAAGTACAATTCTCTTCCGTTCCTCGACATTTTGGTTACACGTAACGCATCCAACTTCAGTACTACGCTACGTTTTACCGTAAACCTTCATCGGTTTAGCTTTCCCCCCACTTCAAATCATGTCATCCGACTAAATAAAAGTTAGCCTTATTTTATTCCTATGTTTTCCATGCACTTCAAGTTTGTTCCACCAAACTGGCTCTTTATCAAGAACTAAATTATTTAAAAAAGGTAGCTATTGACAGCCGCTTTTCACCTAATATCAGTTCACCCAATATCAATCAATCAAGCAGTTAAAAAATTGTCCTCTCAACACTCCAAAAGGCAGATTCTTGTTTTAGGAGATTATAAGAATTCTGTTGTCATTCCTTTCTTTCCATCAATTAGCTATAAAATTGCTCGAATTTTACAAGGTCGTTTATTCTCCTATCAATAAAATTTCGAGTTCCTTATTCAAGAACCCCATTCCGGATAGGAATTCCAGGGGTATTTACAGGATTCCTTGCCAGTGTGGTTTAAATAATACATCGTATAATAAATAAATAATTTGCATTGGTCAAACTAAAAGAGCTTTAAAATTTCGCGTTAAGGAATATAAGGCTGATGTTAGAAAAAAGGAAACACAGAAGTCCTCTGTCGTCCAGCATTGTTGGTCCGAAAATCACACTTTCCATTTTTCTGCAGTCAAAATTATTCAAAACACATCTTCCATTTATGAATTAGATTTTCTAGAGTCGTTTCACATTCAAAAAAATCTTTCTGTTCTAGTTAACAACCCTAATACCAATCCATCTTTGCCTTCAGCATTTAAGGAAATTATGCTTTAGTTCTGGTTTCATCAATAGATGGCGCCAGTAGCCTAACTCTTGTCCAGCCATTTTTATCTTATGTAATCACTATATCTTATCTCGTTCATTTGCACTTTGGCAGCTGAAGATGCTGATTCGGTAAAATCATCAAACTAGTCCTGTGAAAATTTGTAAACATAACGCTGATTTTTGTTGTTTGACTCCTAAATTAATACTTGATCGGCGTGTTATTTTATCTTAATCATACGATTTGTCAAATGGTAGCATTCTGAGAACTGATAATTTTAAGGTTTCGTGTATGATAAATTAAAATTTTATGATTAACACAATAGTAATACCTGCCAAGTTAGTCAGATGGAAAATGCATGGTATCGTTAACAAATTTGTCTAGTGCCTCTGAAGTTTCGGAAACATGTTTCTAATTCGTACTTCTTAATAACATTTTGATTTAAGTGTTATAACACTTTTATCATTAATTATACATAAAAGATGTTTTAAAGGCGAACAAGTATGAAGTCCCAATTACAAAATCACAGCTCTCCTTTCTCTTTACACTACTGTCTCTCCAAAAAGCAAATGTCATGGAAATGATAAAATTTCGTATTAAACTTTTGACATTGAAATTCTGTCAATATTTCCTTTTCTAGTTTTATTCAAACAGTGATGCA